TAGGAAAACACAAGACACAGGAACACAGAACTGACACACGTCTCCTTCACTTGTTCTGCCATGCGCTTCTCATCCGTGTGGGGCTTGTTTACATAAGAGTGCGCATGCATCTTTAACGCAGCATACAGAGGTGTTATGCATTGTAACCAGCTGGTGGGAAAAGTATTCTTAAAATGCATTCAAAATTCTGAATAATTTGTAATATATAATTATTCACGGTATTTAGAAGTGCCAGCAATAACAATATCGTGCATATTAATTACCGGGATATATCGCATTATCGAATACCGGCACAAGTCTAATACACACACTACTGTTCAAAAGATTTCAGTCTTCAGTGTCACATGATCCTTCAGAAATCATTTTAATATGCTGATTTGCTGCTCAAGAAATATGTTTTTGAATCATCACTCCGGCCGGACAGGGCATCATCACAATATGGTAAGGGGCGTAACATTTCCGTCACACGCTTGAGGTATTCGGCCAATCACAACGCACTGGATAGTTGGCCAATCACAGCACACCTCGCTTTTTCAGACCGATGAGCTTTGTAAAAATCAACACGTTTCAGAAAGGCGGGGCATAGAGGAGAAACAATAATGTACAGTATGTGGAAAATAATGTGTTTTTTGAACCTTAAACCGCATAAACACATTTCATTACACCAAATACAAAAAATAATGTTCTTTTTAGCAGCATCATATGACCCCTTTAACATTGTGGAAACAATTATACACTTTTTAAATTATTTTATTAATGAAAAGTTCAAAGAACACAACTGATTCGAAACAGAAATCTTTTGTAACTTTATAAATGGCTTTAATGTAACTTTCAATGTATCTTTGCTGAATAAAAGTTAAAAGAAAAAAATCTTATGGACCCTAAACTTTTGAACAATCGTGTATATAAGGAATTTTTTGCTCTATTTCTTTTTATTCATGTTGATTAAATATTTTTTTTTATTAATAAATGTAATAATAATAACATTTAAATGGTGAACTACAAATAAATCACCAATGTGAATAACAGGAATTTTTTAAAAAAGCTCATAAGTATAAAACCCAGAAAATGTATGCTTAATTGTCATGAAAATCTGATCTCCCACATGAACCAGAGTTCAGCATGATGAAAACTATGCAGTGAGCACTAAGCCATGACACTAACACTGTGCATAGCCACTGTCACAGGAGCGTGTCTTGTGTCTTCAGATCACAGAATTTGAGGGAAAAGCTCCTGCGTAATATAGATGATGGTGGTAGCTTTCACAATACAAAGCATTGTGGGCTGTAATGTTGTGTCCAATCTTTTCACTCCTCATGGCTTTCCAAGAAAGGGGTCTGAATGCATTTAATGGGTTTGTTGTGTAAACACAGCCACTTGTGAGAGCAAGAAGAAACTCATATAGAACAGAAGAAAACGTGAAGAGGAAGGAAATTAATGTGTTTAAATTAATCTCGTGATCGCCTCAGACACAGACACACTGGGATGATCATACACAATAATTTATACTCATTTAAAGTACCACAAGTAAGGAAACATAGGGAAAATGAGAAAACCTTCATAAAGCAAGATGATAGGAACAAAAAAAACTGAGAATCACAGAGAAAGAAGATGCTGTTTATAATACAGACAGACCAATATTAGCCAGGCCGGTCAATCAATATTTGACAATTTTGAGAATACCAGCATCAAGTTGAACCGAAATTACACACTTCCCCTTTTAAATTCAACAATTTTGTGTATATCTAATTTGCTATGATTAAAAAGTATTATATGTATATATCAGAATTATATCAGCCAGTTGGTCTCTAGATATCAGTATCATCCCGTATCAGAGTTAAAAACTCATACTGGTCAACCACTAGTCATTTGTGCATGTGCAGAAGTGTTGGCTTGTCTCTGTGTTTGTGTTTATTAAACTCACTGGTTTAAGCCGTCAACATATCCTCAGCATGGCTGCATGACTTGTGTGTCTCTCAACTACAAGCACTGCATAAAACATCAAATTCCATGCACATAAACACACTCAAAACTACATATTGAAACATCACTCCCGGCGGGGTCATCTGATCAGTCCGCTGACAGTTTTTATGATGATGACTGCACAGTCTGAAATGAACCAGCAAAGAACCTCAGTGATGTTAGACTGAAGCATAATGCATTAAAGTGGACATATATTACACTTGAGTAGCATTTAATTTTTCCCCTAAAGCTCACAAAGCTTTTTTTTTTTTCATATGGTTTCCCTGAAGTCTACAGATAGCTAGCTATAGATAGATAGATGCGTTTTGAAAAATACATGTTGTAAAATCTTTTTCATCATCATTGAAAACTCTGGTAAGATTATATCTTCCAAAATGTAAATGTGTAAGACAAAGCAGCAATTAAAATGACCATGTGAGAAACATTTGCATTCGATTTGCTTTTAAAGTGAGCTGTCACCTATGAGCACGAGCTTTCACTCAAAACGGAAGTAACTTGTAAAAGAAGAGAGTTCACAGCCCGCCTCTTCCTGTCCCACTCTCTCTCTCTCTGTGTGTGTGTGTGCGTACGTGCATACGTGTAAGCATGTGTGTTTCCAAGCAGTGCAACTGCACAGACATACATGTATTGAAAGCTGCACACCTACACAGAGACACAAAAACCACTGATTTCCAGTTAGCTTACCATACACATGAACACTACGCTTATATAAAAAAAAAAAGGCAGACACAAAAGCCACTCACTGCCAGTCAACTAACCACAAAGACAAACACTCAATTCCGGTTGATGTGATGGGTTAAGGAGACTGATGTGTGACGTGATTTGGACAGTTGCTGTTGCTGAAATCAGGTCAGATGTCTGTGTGATCTTATGAAGCATTCTTGACCCTGACAGCTCTCTGTACCCATTAACACTTCCTGTCACACCTCACACTAGACCTGCATTTCTCTCTTCACCACTCTATCAATCCTATTGGATATTTGATGGCTGCTGATATTAGATGTTTAATTGTGTCCACATTTCATAGCATTTAGATCATCATTGTCTAGCACTAACCTAAAGGGATAGATTTAACCATTTAGAGGTCTCCCTTTCGAAAAGTGCTTTCACTTTAAAAGTGCTTATTGACGTGAGTTGGTGTGCTCAACACCAGCAACAACTGCAGAAATATTTCTTAATCTTAGTTGTTTTTGGATTAATCCATATCAGCCAAAATGTCCAATATCCATTCATTAATTTAATTAAAGGTGCAATATGTAAGATTTTTTTATTAAAATATCCAAAAATCACTAGAACAGTGTTATATATTTTGCTGACTTGTGTACTTAACATATCCCAAATGTTTTGAAGAATGTTTAAATTCAGAGAAATAAGCAATTTTAACTAGTGACACGGACCGTGTCTATAGTGTCACCTGCAAACACCTGCCAATGAACGTCATACACCCTCGATTTCCGGTTTTGTTTTGTAGAAAACATGGCAAGACCAAAAACGTTTTAATATGTTGTGTGTTTTATTAGACAGGTGACGACCGCACAGAGTAGCATCATAACAAAACTTTCAAACGTATCTAGTATGATGAAACAGCACTGCTTTACCCCACATACGCACGACCGGAAGGAGCGGAAGCACTAAAGTGTGGCATAATAAAAGCTCTGCTGCTGCTTTCGAGCCGTTATTAGCAATTGCTTCAGCGGCCTCGTTTCGCTTCGACGGCTTTCCACCTCACTCTGCTTCATACTACGATGTTAATAAATCTTTAATACATTAGCTCATCCACGAACATGATTTCTGCCTGAGTCCCGTCGGATTGCATCGGCTGTGGGGATGAAGATGACAACTCCCATGATTCCACACTCAGTCACGGCATCATCAAACTACGCCTTTGTTTCTTTGTTTGTTTAGAATATGCGCCCTCTAGCAGTGAAAACTTACATATTGTACCTTTAAATTTGGACTGCAATTAAATGAAATAATTAAGTCAGGCCATGTAAATATTTTAGGTATTTATCTTGTTGCATTTTAATTTGGAATGTCAATTTATTAAATTGTTTAATTAGAATAAAAACATTATATCCTTGAAAATTGATCGAATTAATTGCAAGTAAATTTAATAATAAAACCAGGCAATTTAAATATTCTAGTTTTTTTTTGAATGTCAGTCGATTAAATAGTATCAATACAATAATAACATGATATTCTTGCAAATTAATTGCAAAAGAATGTAATAACATAGTCTGGATGTAAATATTCTACGTATTTTTCTTAGAATGTATTATGTTGGAATGTCAACCAATTAAAAGTTTAATTAGATTAATATCATGATATGCAGACACACTTTGATCATTGCATGACACTGCCCAGATCTCACACAGAATGTGACCACATATGTAGCCCTCAAGTCAGCTGACCTCTCTTGACAGTTAGAGCTTTGTGACTATAAGAGCCAAATAAGGTTGTCTGTGCAGCTCTGAACATCCTACATCTGAAGAAGCCATTTTACATGAGGATACTCTTCTAGACTTCTCATCTGCATTTAACTACAGTGCCTTGTGCGCTTGAGCCTAAACTGCAGATCAAGCTGTGATTCTGTCACATTGTGAATTCTGGACTTTCTTCTCCTGTTGAGAGCAGTATGATAAAAAAACAGCAGCATTACTGTCTCATGCTTGTTTGTTTCTACTGGGGCTCCTTGAGGAACTATGATCCTCCCAGTGCTATTGTCTGTAAGTATAATACGAGAAATTCAGATTTGAGCTGTTAGAATGCAGATTATACGGCTCTGGTAGACCTGTCAGACTGCTCAGAACACTTTGAGTCTACAGCTAGAAATATCCATGACCAGTAAGAACGAAGGAACAACTGCTTGACTTCAACAGAAACAACAGAGAGTCAGTGATAAACTGATTTTCACAGGAGCAGACAGAATTTGTGGTAAGATATACAGTCCTGGATAAGTAGCAAAAAAATGTTGTTGACCTCTTGGTTTCTAGAATCGCACTGCTAGCTGTGAAATCAGTGAAATCTCACTGGTTGAAAGTACCACAACACATAGCTGTATATTAATGTTCAAATATTTTCTGATACATCACATATGGTTTAATTTTCATCATGGACAGACAAATTGCCTGTCACATTCTGCTTAAAAAACAGTGTTAGTAAACAGAGGTTTGAATATATGTAAATTTGTAATATGAACAATGTCCATGGCAAAAACTATCTAGGAATTAAAAAGTTTAAAAACTTCAGGTGCCTAGGATCAAAGGTAAACTAGCAAAAAAAAATTATAAATAAAAAAATAGTGAAAAATGTAATTGAATAAAAAGATATTGTAAATAATTTATTTATTTTTATTTATTTTTTTGCTTAGAAAGGCTATGTTTGAACCTCTGTTGCCTTCATCGGTTTCTGGACCTTTCTGACCACATTGCTGTGTAGGAGGCTAAGAAAATAAAATACACAAATAAAGTACACTTCTCAAATACCTTGAACCTCCACCTTCAGGGAGAAGGTAAATAATTCCACCTCTCAATAAAAACAAATTGGTAAATAATTCCACCTCTCAATAAAAACAAATTACAAAGGCATTTTTTCATTCCCGTAGCTGTAAAAATTAAGGATGCACTGATTTGGGTATTTTTACTAACACGGGTATCATTATATGCCAAACATGCCAAAATTGGTGCATTCATAATTTATTTTTATTTTTTATATAATTTTGTAAATCATAATATATGCAATTGATTTAATTTTAAAGAATATTCAATCATTAATAATGATAATTAATATAATCTTTAATTAACTATCATCATAGTAATCTTAATTATTAGTGTCATTTTTTAATTATTATTTTATGAAAAAAATGCAGTTAGTTATTTAATAAAATCTTATCCCACATTCATGGTTTCTGAGGTTCCTGAGATATACATTAACAGGCAGATGAAATGTGATTGTCCATAATATAGCTATAAAAAATTAAATAAAATTGTGTATGCTGCTGTGTGAATGGGCTAGTAACTTTTCATCCTTGAAATTCCAACTAACTGAAGGTAATAATTGTAACTTTCTACTAATTCCCATCATCACATATACATACAGCATAAAAACTGTGACAACAAATAACAGCAATCACATCACAATCATAGCAACATCAGAACAAGACAATCAATTACACACACATATGCAGAAATGTAGTTTACCTCTTATCTCAAGCTCTCTGTTACCATCTAAGAACAGGAACTTCTGGAGAGGAAACCCGGAAAACCTGAACATTTGGGAGACAGAAAGAGAGAAGGAGAAAACTGTATGAGTATTTTTTCTCATCTCGTACAATTTTGAGCAAAGGAAAAAAAACATTGAGGAGAACACATTTCTGTGTGAAGTTAAAAAAAATTAACTCTTATTCAATTTAACAGAGATACTAACAGAACATGTGAGGTAAGTGTACAAAGGGCTGTTAAGGTCTATAAAATGTTACTTCCTCTCAGTCTGCCATTCTCTCCTCAGAGGGAAAGAAAATCTAAGAGAGGGAAAAAGAGGAATATGTCTCCACTGACATTTGAAGCATTAAATGTATTCCATCTTAATATACGGTTACTGGGTACATCCACAGCCCACAGATGCTGAATGAGGAAACTGAAGGACACAAACACACACACACACACACACACACACACACACACTCTTT